CCATCTGTTTAGCAAGTATCTTAAATCACGTGCGAAAAGAATTCTGCAGTACCTGCATAAGTATCATTATATTTAAAGATATTTTCATTACTACCTTGGTTGTCAGAAACGCACATTGGTCCATCCCTCTGGTAATTGGCCACACGAGTTCTGAAGGGGCAGTTCACAGGAATTTGTAGATAGTTAGGTCCCAGACGGTGTCTATGAGTGTCAGGATATGCAAACAGACGACCCTAAAACGTTTATCACAAACATTAATTACTACTTGCTGAAAGAGATCACCTGAGTGGTATATGCCAATTCAAAGCACTACTCATTAAATGGTAAGAGGGAGAAGACTGTTTCCCTTGCGTATATATTCCTGACATACTTCAAATTATGTCCAAAGTGACACTCGGCCACAAACTGACTTTGCTGGAATACTGGTGAAGAACCGCATTTATGCAGCAGCTACTGGTGAAGAGTTGCATTTATGCAGCTTGGGTATTTCCTACCCATTTCGGAATGCCAAGCCTACTCTGAAGCAGGAAAATGGTTACACATGTAGAGATGAAAGTGACTACAACAGTGCTAAAGGTTACTAAGGAATAATATCATGTTTTCCTACTTATTTTCAAGCTTGGATTTTAAGGAAAATGGTTACACATGTAGAGATGAAAGCGACTACAACAGTGCCAAAGGTTACTAAGGAATAATATCATATTTTCCTACTTATTTTCAACCTTGGATTTTAAAATAATTTACTACATCTGAAATATGGTAGTCCCTCATATATTTACTGAGCAGAATCTAAAGCAGTTCTAGTGACATCTGGATGGCAAGAAGACAGACTGATTCAGACATGAAGTTTGTGGGAGCGAAAAGAGGGGAAAACAAAAGAACTGCATGATCATTCAAGAGTTTATCCAGTCAAAATTGTCAAAACACCTTCTTGTTTCCACGTATATCATTTGAAACAACAATCTGGTTTTCAGCTGAAAAAGCATAACAGGCAAACTTCCATGACTCTGCAGACAGTATAGTCTACTGCAGCCAGTCTTATCAGGTATTTTGACCTGTAAGAAATCTGATATACTTCTAAAGAATAGTCTTATGGTTTGTATCAGGGATTAGTTATACTTGTATTTTAGAGCATTGGCAGTCCACCTCTCACACTCATAAGAGTTTAGAATTCTAAGATATGCATAACAGGCAAACTTCCATGACTCTGCAGACAGTATAGTCTACTGCAGCCAGTCTTATCAGGTATTTTGACCTGTAAGAAATCTGATATACTTCTAAAGAATAGTCTTATGGTTTGTATCAGGGATTAGTTATACTTGTATTTTAGAGCATTGGCAGTCCACCTCTCACACTCATAAGAGTTTAGAATTCTAAGATATACTGTAAAAAAATCTGATATACTTCTAAAGAATAGTCTTGTGGTTTGTATCAGGGATTAGTTATACCTGTATTTTAGAGCATTGGAAGTCCACCTCTCACACTCTTAAGAGTTTATAATTCTAAGATAAACTGTAAAAACATGAATAAATATGCATTGCTGCTATGGTTTTATCCTGTACTTCTTGCCAGAGTGACAAATTTCCCCATCAACTTTGACACTTGTTGCAGATGTCCTCTAAATTCTAGATTTTCTACTCCTTTAGTTCTTTCCTGTTCTCTTTATATTTAAATTTTGGACAAGAACAACAAAAGGTGATCATTAAAACAAGCACCAAAAAATAAATTAAAAAAAAATAAATCAGTTGCTTTCCATCTGTCAGGTTTACTGCTGCTACACAAACAGGAATAGGAATGCTTTCATAAAGAGCAAATAAATGTTCTTCAGGTAAAATCTTAGGTGCACCGTAGTTTACCTGCAGCATTTTATCAGGGCTAGGTTCAATACCAGGTGGCATGTTGCTAGGATCATACGCCATCTGTTCTACCTCTGCAAAGTAATTGACAGGATTCCTGTTCAAGACAAGCTTTCCCACAGGGATGAGCGGGTAGTCACCATGCGGCCAAATCTATAAGACATAACACATATACATTAAAATCAACATTATTATAGTAGTATACACTTTACATAAGTACTAGGCAGCATTTGCCTGATTTAAGTCTTGGTTGAGAAAATACACTGCTGAAGAAATCTATTTGTTGCTAATAAAGTAAGACATTACTCAAAATGTTTAAGAAGTCTTTTGCAATTAATACAGAATACTAATGCAACTTTCTTCATCATCCCAGCATAATCTCAGCACTTGACTACATAAATGAAATACCTACAGACATTTGAAAAACTGCCTAGGAATGCAATACCATAGGTGGAACTGGTAGCACGATTGGTTTTAGTGACTTCAAAACACAACCAGCTTAACCAGCCTTTTCTTTGTCATCTTAGTCTGTACTTTCAGGTTCAGAAGTCTTTAGCCATTTTGGGAGAGCAGTATTAGAGTTAAAAAACAGTAATAAAAATTTATGTTAATATCTTTCAACCAGCCATTCCTTGGAACAGCAATTGGAAGTCTGAAAAAAATCAGATCAACAATCAGAAGCTTCGTTATCAACAACAATTAGAGACTAGCAAGCTCAGGGTGTGACTATATGATCCGAGATCACACTTCTGAAGTGCAGTTGTGTAATCTACAGGCCTGGAATCAAGCCCTATTAGTATTTCACTGAGGAAGAGTAACATCAGGTACAACTTTAGTATAATTTCATCTCCAGAATTTCTGACTCCTCATGACCATATAATAAAGAGTACACTTAAAAAAATAGAAGGGAAGAATAAAAAGGACAAACTAACTTTATCGTTGGGGACTAGTAAACAGTGCTACTCCATGGAAACCGTTACTTTTTTTTTATATAAATAAGCTCAGTTCTGGCATTTGCTACATTTTGATCTCATGACCTTTCTTAACCTAGCTGAAATCAAATATTCACAACAGTATCAGAGATACCTTAGTTAAATCAAAAGGATTAAATGGAAACTTCTCTGCTTCTTCAAATGTCATAACTTGAATGTAGAAAGACCATGATGGATAGTCGCCCTTGGCAATGGCATTGTAAAGATCACGTATTCCATAATCGGGATCAGTAGAAGCCAATCTTCCTGCTTCTTCAACAGAAAGATTTTTGATGCCCTGGTCAGTCTAAAAGCAATAAAAGCAGTAGCACCAGTTACAACACGCAGAAAGTATTACAGACATCATTACTAAGAATGTACTTTAATAAGATTTAATAACCTAAGAATGTGATTGTCTATGTTTCAATCTCCAATAATTTGAGTTCAGAATAATAGCACATTCAACAGCTGCCTTCCAGACAAAAATTAGTTCTCGGATAAAAGTGAAATACATATGTAATGCTATACTGCAGAATATCAAACTTGAAGGCATGATGCCTGCAGCACACCAAGTAAAGAGGCTTCCCCTCTCCCCTTACAGCACAGAGTGCTCCTTTACCGTCCTATCATCCCACCTTTTCCTACAGATCACACGTCAACATGAAGTGATGAAACACCTGCAGCCCTCAGGGCTGAAAGTTCTGGATTCTACACGAATTTCAATTTCCCACCCCCCATCCCTATTTCTGTGACACCTTTAGCACTAACTAAAATCTCACTTTAATAAGCTTTTGACAACTTGAAGGCTAAAAGCTGCTATATAATCCCTCTTGGTTTAACATAATAGTTTCCAAAGACTTGCTTCAAAAGGTAGATGTCCAGCCTCCACTGAAGTCTAATGAGGTAAGAAGCTGTATGGCCTTTAAAAGTTCAACATGAAGTTTTTTTCAAGCAAGATATACCAAAGATTGCTTTCTCACTAAAAGTGTGGAAGTTCTGTAAGGTTCTGTGAGCTTCAGCTGCAGAGCTCTTCGAAACAGACTTTTTATATTTTGGTATACAGTTAAGACCATCTTAGACAAATACTACATCAATGCAGCTCATATCAAGATGATAAATGGGAACAAAAACCAGATCCAGACTCAGAGAACTTTTACCTGAAGCAGCACCTGTTGAATCCAAGCTACTATGCAGCCATGGACATGAAACAGGAACATATCACACACTGAATAAAACACATTTCCAAAGGGCTTTGAGCAACCTGGTCTGGTGGAAGGTGTCCCTACCCATGGTAGGGGGGTTGGAACGAGATGGTCTTTAAGGTCCCTTCCAACCAAACCATTCTATGATTCTGGGAAAGGGCTAGAGGATTCACCGCAGGGGGGTTGGACTAGATGACCTCTAAAGGTCCTTTCCAGCCCAAATGATTCTATGATTCTTGCATCTGCACTGAACGATATCAAGAGAGTCTAACAGGAAGTTCCTGCACAGCTTCATGCCCAAAACTCCTAGCGGGATGAGGCCAAAATGCAGTAAGCCGAGCTCAATGCTCAGAGCTTACCACACAAGTGGACCAAGTTCTCCCGTAACAAGAGACAGTTCCCCAAAGAAGAGTTCTTTATAGTCTAGTAAATACCGACTGTGTCATAGCAACAACAATGATGCCCGTCATTTACTGAATGCATGCAACTGGTAAAAAAACCCACACCTTTTCGATTGAGTCTATGCACTAACAATTCTTTTCTGAATTAAACTTGAAAAGTCACAGAATGTTTTTAGACAATTGAAACTTTTTTATCCAATAGGATGTATACTTCCAACAGATAACTGGAAAAAAAAATCAATACCTTCACATGGAATTTGCAATAAACTGCTCTCCCACTAGCATTAACCAGTTTAAAAGTATGTGATCCATATCCATTCATATGGCGATAACCATCAGGAATACCACGATCACTGAATAAGAAAGACACCTAAAGAGAAGGATCAAACAACATTAACGGACTCACCAGATCAAGGATAAAGTGACCATTCGAGACAAAGTTCCTTTATTGCATTCATCTGCATCACTGGAAGCTACCTTAATGTTATGAATTCCTTGAGGAACTTCTAGTTTAAGTGTTAAGAGCGTTAATGAAATAAGACTGCTTTGGTTTTGCACAAAGAACAATTGTGAATTAAACCCACATGAAGTTTTACGCCCACATGAAATATTTGGTGAAGTATAAGACATTAACCTAGGGATAATGTTACAATTTCCTCTATAAGCATAGAGCAGGTAAGTATGGATGCTTTAAGTTAGAAATATAAAAAATAATTTCATTTCAGGTTAAAGACAAAATCTGAAAATTGAAGTCCTTAACAACTTCAGAGTCCTCAAGCAGTAAATATACCATCATGCAAACATATTCAAAATGCTGCTTTTCTTTAGGTTTATGATCACAAACAATGCTTGTGGCACTTTTTTTTCCAATCAGTAATTACTGGAAGGCTTCTGTATGAACCCATTTTCTTTTTTAAAAAAGAAAAAAAACCCCAACAATTGCATTTTTAATTTTATATTAGCTTTTTTGCATAACATTCCTAGATACAAATACATTTCAGAATAATTAGAATGCACCATGAATTCCAGTCATTTTTGGAATTGACCTAATGTGCAACACAGTATACAGCTTTAAATAAACTTCATTGTGATAGCATTACTTTGCCAGTACTTTACTGTTCTCTAACAATTTGTTGTTCATCAGTATCTCCACTGCTTTATTGTTAGAAAACTTAGCAACTTCCCCTTCATCCCTATATAAAACATGATTATGAAAACAGAAGAATCCCACTCATTTCATTAAAAGAAAAAAGGTTAGATACACATACTAATAGCCTTAAAAGTTATTGTAGGCCTTCCACCCTTACTGTTGCTAGAAGATTATGTAGGTTTCTAGACAAAACATGGAAAAGAGATAGTTAACAACATACACTGTCATAATGCGATTTTCTTAATCATAAAGTCAAAGGAGAACCTTACTTGATGCAAAGACTCAGGGCGAAGAGTCCAGAAGTCCCACATCATGTCAGGATCCTTCAAATGAGTCTGAGGGTTCCTCTTTTGGCTATGGATGAAGGATGGAAACTAATTTGTCCAGAAGTGGAAGAGGGAGGAAGGAGATGGGAGAGGAAAAAAAAAAAAAAGAAAAGTTCTGTAGTGCCTCAAAATTATATGGGGTATACTAAGCAACTCCTGGTACAAACCAAGACAAACAGCTTTTTCAATACTCTTAACCGTGAAAGGACCAGCACACTGAAAGATGAGAAAGTTTTAAGATCACTGAAAAAAAAAAATCTTCTATTGTCATACGCCTCCTGCAACCAAATTCACTCACAGACCTGTAAAATTAGGGTAAAGTGAAACATTTCCAGTGAACAGGCTGTTCAAAGCTAAAGAATGCTTTCATTCTGTGAGAGGTAAATCTTTTCAAATTTGTATATCTGAACTTTACTGAATATCTGACTCCTAATTGAATACAGAGATACTATAAAATACCTGTGCAGGACTCCTCCACTCAAGGAATCCCCCTCTACATAGAAAGTGCTATTAAACTTATACTAAAAGACAAAAAAACCCATCAGATTTAACAAAAAGAATTTGCAAGAAGCTTTTAAAATGAAAAGTCTTCCCCCCTCCAATATCCTCAGAATGGAAAAACTATCTGCAGAGTAAAACAGCTAAAACTGATCAGATCTGAATTTAAAAGCATGAGTACTTACTTGCTGGCTATTCTGCTGTGGCAGACGCTTGCAAACACAACTAAACGTGTGCGCTATTTGTGGTATGGAATAAGTAATTAAGCACTAGTCCTTAATTTAATTTTTTTAAAGATAACACCTTTTCAAGTCAAAAACGTTCAGACCATCTAACAAACAACAAAGTTTAAGTGTGTGAAAACAACAGCTTCTGCTTCTTAGTGAAGCAAGAACAAGATGTGAACAAACTTTTGGACTCGTTCATAAAAGTACCCTCATCTTTTGAGCTTACTCACCAACAGTGCATCCCGAATAAAGAAGATAGGAGTATTATTTCCCACAAGATCCCAGTTACCCTCTTCTGTATAGAATTTCATTGCAAAGCCTCGAGGGTCACGAACTGTATCAGCTGACCCAGATTCTCCAGCTTGAAGAAATGCATGAACATACAGAAGTGTTATGATAGGAAATGCATACAAATTGTAAGCATAAAAACACAGAGCTTGACAATATGCCATAAAATCCTAAAAGGATGGGGTTTATTAAATTAAGTCTTTTCTTAAGGAGTTTTTGGCCTATTTTCAACAATACTTCAGGCACTGGAAGCTTCCAAAGTGTGAACAGACACACATCCAAGCATTTGGGCTCGAGTTAAAAGAAAGAAAAACCACAAATATCCACTTGAAGCAATTAAGAGTGGAATTTGCATTATCACTAACATAGAGACAACATCAGATTATAAGGCTGAATTGGCTAAAACCACATTAGTTTCTGTGCATCAAATCCCAGTGTGAAAGCTCACATTTGGAAGATAGCAATCTAAATAGCGTGCCTAATAAAAAGGGGCTTATTACAGAAGAGTTGTAACCCTTTTAATTCCCCTCTTGCTTTAGCCAAAACTGTCTTTTCAATGGAAACTTTACACCAGAGCAAAAGTGCCTACCACAATACCTGAGCAAAAGCGTTCCAGAAGTATTGAGGAACACCTAATGCTAAACATCATGACAAAAGAGCAAGATCACTCATTCTCACATTTAAAAAAAAAAAAAATTGTGTACTACAGAGTAGCTAAGAAGAAACATGTTCAAACAGAGCAGGGAAAGGAAAGGTAATGATGCAACAACACACTTGAGCTGTTTTTTCCCCATGTAATACTCCATGACCCCTTAAGTTTTGGTGATACTGGGAAAAGCCAGCAGGCCAAAACCAGCAGCTCCTTAAGCCTTGTTGGACTACTTTTCTCTTCAATACTAGTTCCAGAACTGATTCCTCATTAGGATTTCCTTTCTTTTAAATACATATAGAGCAGTAACACATACATTTTGAAAGATCATTTTTATAATCAGACAGGTATTGATCATAATGCATGTTTTAACTAATATGATTTAAGATTTTGCTAGTTTATGCATTCAGCTCTGAGAAATAAGAGTTTATTTATGGAAGATTGTTTATTTTTCTTTGCCTAGTACTTAATTCACAGCATTCATCCCCAAAACATTCCTACAGCGTAAGAGATTATAGGTATTTAACTTTCACGTCTTAAATTGCAGTATGCAAGTGCTGATTATGATCCACCCAGAAACAAAGCAAGCTTTGTCAGGAAAAAAATCAGCTCAGGCTATCCTTTCTCTCACGCTCCAGATGGAAGCGTCTACAGACAGCCCCGACAGAAAGACGTAGAAGCGGCTTAAGGTCTTACAATTTAAATGAAAAAATCACAGAAGAGGAACTGGTTGGCAGAAAGCATTTCAAACTACCTTAAGCGCATTAAGTGCTCCACAATGCAAACATTGCTATAGGTGTAACTACAGTACACGTGTAAGAAGACACATTAACTTTAGAGCCTTACCAACGGTGGAGAATCGCATAGCAATCGGAGTTCTTTTTCCAATGTGTTCAAACACTTTGGCCTTACAATACTGGGTAATATCATGAGTGACTTCAAAATAGCCAAAGGCTCCTGAAGAAAAGTAATTTCAAAATATCAGATCTAGATACCTTCCTTCTACTCACAGCATATCTGTTATTCTGTTGTGGTCCAACATACAACTTTAAGTCAAAAGGAAACATGGAAATACACCAGTTTAAATACAGTTCATATCTATGCACTAAAACACTAAATTTATTTTCACAAAATGAAATTTACTTAACACAAACTACTGTTTGCACGGTGCTCACTCTCCCCTCCTTAACTGATTCTTAACAGTTCCCAGAAGCAATACAGACCTCATCTCTACTGTGCAAAAAAACAAACAGTAGCTTTTTGGATGCTCTTCTGCCAACATTTGCATATTTATCTCAGAGCAAGACAAGTATTTCATTAATCCCAATATGTGTTGCAGAATTTTTGGTCCACCTGTAAGGTAGATGAAGCAATAAAATCCTTCCCACCCCACAAAGGAATTTCTCCCGTGGACATTCACATTATAAATTCAGTTCCGTAATTTCTTCTTCTAGGGCAATACGTAACAAAAATCAGAGGTGCCAGTTCTACCCTACTAAGATTAATAACGAGTTTTAAAATGAGTTGGTTTAGGGTTTTTTAATTTAAATATTAGATCATCATCTTGCTTTGGCAGACAGGTACATCGGATGACAAAGACAAGAATCTCTAACAAAGAACATGCAAACAGACATTAAAATAGAGGTGGGTAAGTCTTCCCTTCCAGAGGAACAGGGTACTATGGAGGAACAGATAGAGATTACAGCAAATACAGTAAAAATCTAAGGGCTATAACTACATTTTCTCTTTTTTTTTTTTAAACAGTTTTTCAGTGCATCAAGTTTTCGCATTGAGTTCCTTTAAACCAGGCCTTACCACTGTTGCTGATAGAGAATTATTTATTACAACCTATAATACTAAACTATAGATAATATAATGCAATTTATCTGTCACAATCTAAAAAGTTTTAAAAGCTTTTTAAAGTCTAATTCTACAGAGAGAAAGAGTACATGTTTTTAAACATACCTGCCCCTTTTGCATGCACAACTCTTTCAGGAATCCTTTCTCTGTCAAAATGAGCCATCTCATCAGTGAAAACAACATCTTGAACAAGAAGAGGTCCACGTGGCCCTACTGTCAGAATATTAAGCTTATCTCCTACGGGGTTCCCAGCACCGGTGGTCAGGACATCTGGTTTCTGAAAGCAAGAGACAGTCAATATCACACCACAAATTAAAAACCCTCTATGTTCAAGCCACACAATGCTCATGCCTGTTCAACCATTATGTGTCACAGGACATATTAACAAGTATACGGCAAAATGGCATTAGATTCTGGAACTAGTTACACAAAATATAGATGCCTAACTACATTATCACAGTATGATGTCTGGGGCTGTTTAAGAAGGGGAGTTCAAGCTTCCTTGTTAAGGCTATCTATATTGCTTCAAGAAAAATATGAAGTGTCAACCTTAAAATATGAGTTACGCTTCCGTTTGTCCCCCACTTCAACAGGAGAGGATGGGAAGAGAGTGAGCTAGAAAAGGAGTAGCTGCTGGAAACTAATAAAGCACAAAAGAGAGGAAGAAGGTGCTAACGTCAGTACAGGGATGGAGGCATAAGGCAAGAACTATAATCACACAGCATGAAGACTAAAAGGGGGTACCCATGACTATTGTTGGTCTGGAGAAGCTATGGAAAATAACATAAGCAAGAGTACCTGAGGAATCATCATTCTAGTCTCTTGAACCATGGAAGGACCAAGACTAACAAAAGACCTAAGCAGCCCTACTGTCAATAAACCTCCTGTCAAAAGGACAGCAAAGCAGAACACTTTTTTTAACAAACATTATTACTGTCTTTAAAGAAACTGCCCAAGATAGCGCATACTCATCCTTTTACCCTCCCTCCCATACCAAGTTTAAGTTAGCTAGGCTACTTAAAGCTGCAGCATCTTGTACAGGAGTGACCCTGTGTACCTGAAAAAACAGCCACTCCAAGACAACGTCAAGAAACTCCTGTTGGAACTCTGTAGCACTGTAATTGAGCGTACTCCCACTTTGTCAAAAAAAAAAATCCCATTAGAAAAGGCTTTATCTGCATCACATACAGGGTCATATGCCCCTCTAAGGTGACAGTTCTGTTTTGCCGTGTTTTCTACAGCACACAGTAAGAGACCTTACTCCCACTTTGTCAAAAAAAAAATCCCATTAGAAAAGGCTTTATCTGCATCACATACAGGGTCATACGCCCCTCTAAGGTAACAGTTCTGTTTTGCTGTGTTTTCTACAGCACACAGTAAGAAAGAGACCTGATCGTTGCAGGTGTCAGTTTTTTCTGGAGCACATTTATTGTTAGGAACCAAGGTGATGCTTGTAAAGGACTCAGAAGAACAGAATAGAAGATAGCACAAAGTGGAAAAAACCCCACAAACACACAACCAAAACACAAAAGAAAAAAGTTTGCAACAGGGTGAGCTCCAGTATCCCAGTCACAGGTTATGACCAGTTAACCCTAAATCCACAGTTACACATATCTGACATACATCCATATGGGCTCTCTACCCACACCATCCTACCCTCTTCTGGCAGTAGCACCCACAGACCTGAACCACGGGAAATGCACCAGAACAAACTCACTCATCCCCTTCTGACTAGTTCTTCTTTTAAAGTTCTAGAAATGAAAAGAGATGGTGAAGAGAAGGAAAAAATAACTCTAGGCGAGAAGGCTTTCTCTATTATACCAGTGACTTTACAGAGTTACGATTTCTATATTGACAGTGTAAGTTCTGCTTTAAGAGAACTGTAAACAGGCAAAATTCCCATCTGTGTCTCATGTAAGAGTACACTGAACTGAACTAGCCTCTAGTTTTGGGGGTTTTTTTTGTTTGTTTTCTTTCCCCGAGGGCAAACCCACAAAGACAGAGGAAAGAACAAATTATTCACATCTACACCCAAAGTTCTGGATGAGGCAGAGTATACAGGGAGTTATATACACCTTTGTTTAACTCAGGTACATGAATAACCACATAAAAGGCGTTTGACAGGATAACTGCATTTCCAATGTGTTCTTACTAACATGCAACACACAGTGCTCTAGCTGGCTTGAATTCCCAAAATACCTAGGTTCTTTATTCTTCATTCACTGCTTCGTTAGCATAAAACTATAAGCATAAATTCAACTCCTTCAGGATGCCTGAAATGCTAACCTGCACCGAAATTTGTACAAACATTTCAAAAAGACCATATATACCCAGTTACAGACAGGAATATGATGTTCAGAAACTTACAGGAAAGTTACCACTTCGGTTTTATTTACAGTATTCTTAAGTCAAAGCAACATCTGCTTAAACAAAATCATTATCTACAGTTTGTCAAGGGAAATATGCAAGAGTAGCAAGTGTTTGCAGTATTCATTCCACTGCTTATATATCACCTGCTTCCTACCTTATATCTTGCTGTTTTAAACAAGCCAAAGAAAACAATTTCACTGCTCACTTTGAGAAGTTACCTAGTTAGACCGCACGGGAAGTTCTCCCATCCTGAACTGGTTTGAGAGTTCAACTTCTTAAAATGATATCCTACCATATAGATCCTATATAACTTAGCACCCTTAAATATGCATGCTTTATTATGTTTATGTATGCTTTATTATGTTTTTAGCTATCACCTTAACCTAGAAATTGCTTAGATTGCCATTACAAATGAACTTTTTGAATTAGAATTTAATTTCATATATTAAAGTAGGTAGAAGGACACCATCATATTCAAGGAACTTTAGGAAAAAGCTCATTCATCCATTCCATGATTCAGTCTAGTAAGTGTAAAATATTCTACTTCACGATATTGACCAGCACAAATTAATGTAATTATATTATCAGCTCATTATTGTGACATATTTTCTGTCCTGAGATATGAAAGCTACAAGCAACCCTTCTTGAAACCCATTCTAAACCTCTGCTTTGAACAGCCCTTTCTTAGAACACGGTATAGTCTGCAGATGAGGATGCTCACACATCACAACAGTTTTAATCGAACTTTTTGGTCAATAAATTTTTTCAGAGTTTGCTTAGGGAGAACTACTTTTTTTTAAAAATCCAGCTTCCAGCACTGCCAATATTTTTATTTTCATTAGTTTTGCTGATTAAAAGCTTCAAGTTTTTCACAGATAAAACCCAATGTATTAGGTTTTTTAATCATGAATTAATTGATTATTTTTCTGTGTGTATTGATGACTCTGTCATACTCATTTAGGATGGGCGTGTTCACTGTCACGCGGTGAAACAGAACAGATCCTACCAATGGCATCCTAACTTTCTGCATTTTCCTCTCCAGCCTCCCTGTGTTACTGTTACAGACATTTCCATCCTTCCCACGTGTTCTATGTACACAGAGACTTCCACTTTATCCTCACTCTAAGGCAGCCTGCGACACAAAAGCTCCGTGTACAGCTCCAGCACTATTTATTAATTCTGACGACTATAATTCTAAGAGAAGCAAACTTGGGGACTGGATTCTGGTAACTCTTTTTTAAACAGGAGACATAGCTCTTAATACCCCTCCAGTCCATACAGTGACTTTTAAAAGTCACTAATGCTTATGTCATCTTGAAGCAGTGACCAAGTTTCACTCAGTCCATTAAGAAACACAAAAGTTACATTGAATTAGAGCCCTGTTTATCCTGGAGTTCTTCATAAATTTTAAGCAGCACAGTAGGTTTAACCACGCCATGGTAGGACTATAATGCATATACCTACACATATGACCTTCTCCTTTACAAAGCCCTTACAAGACCTTGGTAAGAGACAGGGAGGGGGAAGCGTATCCTTAGTCTTAAGGAGACTTTTTGAGTCCTTCTGATTCACCTATGCCTTTGTAATACCTGTCATGTGATTACCTCAAGGGTAGAAAAAAAAATCTTTGCATATTAGTTGTAAACTATGCATGCAACAAAGAATAAAAGTTTGTAGAGATAATACAGCCCTTTTCAAACCAACAGGTTATACTGTTGTCTAAAAACCACTTCTTCTATAATGCTAACATTTAAGACTACTAGAAGTAGTAGCTAAAACCACAACTTTTTGAACCAAAACCTATCAAAAAATTTAACAGCTTTGCAGCTGTATAGTCTCTTGTGTAGGCAGACTTTCTGAAACATTCTTCCTAGCGTTCACATTAGAAGTACAAACTTCTTTTTTTCCCCAGTGATAGGATATCCTGAAACTAAAGTTAATATAACGTTATGTGGGGCACACAAAATTAGTTCCATCAGCGTGAAGGAAGAGAAAAAAAACAGAGTAGTTTTAAGAAGAACTCTCATACTACTTTTGGACTTGAGTTTGTCTGATGCCTCTATTTTCATATAGTTGGGAGCTGCATACAGTCAAAACTTTAAAAGATAAAAACTTTTGAATCTGCATGTGTATTTCATTACACCACTAACCTGCCATGACAGAAAGAAGGGAAACAAAGCCACAAGACTTTTAGTCACAGCTGTTGTAAACATCATACATCAAAGTACATACTTCCAGGCATTACTGATACTTTGTACCTTATACAAGTCACTTTAAAATTCTAATAAGTCCTCCCTGCTTTCTATCTATCTTAAGGTCTTATGACTCCTTATGCAACACAGACTTTGGGTTGCCTCCCAATCTTCAAATTAACCTTGGCCTATATTCAAATACTGCTTTCTTACAGAAAAACCGACATCCATATGAAAAGTACTCACAGTACAAGAAGAAAATATTATGACACACGCTAGAATGTGATGAAATCACAATTCATAGGTAGTTTCACACAGTACCTTTTAGAATCGAGAGGAAAAAAAATAAAATCAAGATGACTTAGCAACTACAAAGAGTGGGAATTGAGGCATCCACTTCTGTCTTCTAAGACTGCTGCTTAGTACAACCAGCAGAAAAAGTATTTAACCTCAAATACACACTTGTGTCAGAAAATACACAGCAGAAACTGTCATGGTGATTTGAGGAAGAAGAAGGGAAATCAACTCTTGCAGCATTTATACGCCTACCCAAATATTTTTGGGTATATTCCACATCTTGAGAAGATCAAGTGCCATGCTGTTGATTACACGTTCTTACGATTTCAATCAACCACTCGCCCCAATCCACTTCAACCTGGTAAACAAGTCTCCACATATTGCTGAACGCGCTTTATCTTTCATATCATTCCCTTGCTACGTTTTCACTGGGTTCTACCAATGCGATAGCAAAACTGAAAACGTGAATATCTGATTCGTGATGGAAAAA